TTCTGAAAATATAAACAGGTTCAAGAGTAGTTCCAGTAGAACTTGACTAATTATTAAGGCAACTCTCAACCTCTTGAGGTTGGGCTGATGGAGAGAAACCATGTTTCCCCTTATGCCACTATGAGAGAAACAAAATAAGGCTGAAAGATCCATAAGTTAAAGCCAACAGCACTACTTATGCTCATAGCCGTCCTCACGGAAGTAGGTAGGACATATATAATGAAAAATCTGGCTGCTTATGCTCTACTTTTGGCCCTCTTAAAATAAATGGAAAATATAGATGTTTTAGGGTTTGCAATGTTTTACCAGAATACATACTGTTATAAGGTAAACTGTAGGTTAATGAAGGATAGTATGAAAAATACTATATTCACTTCTTTATTTACAGTTTTTAATCTTGGACATGTGAAAACTTAGTGGCTTTTTTGAGTATTAGAATAGATAAGTAAATGTCTACTGTCTCTTAAGTGTTGGCATACATTCAAACCAGTGCAAACACACCTTCTTGCCTCAATTCTGACCTATGTGTATGAATAAAAATACATTTATATGATTTTAAATGATATAAAAATGGATTTGATAATTGGATTTTAGAAACTAAACACATTGCTATGCAAGGCTCTTTGGTGGCTTTCTGAACATTTCATGTCTCTTTAAGCACTTGCTACTCTTTCCCCAGAAGAATCAAAAGGAAATTTTAGAAGGTTCTCAAAGGCTAAATCCTCAGATTCCTGCTGAAAACAAATTAAAGAGACACTAATTTCCAGAAAACAATGTTTCAGTGTCTGAAAAATTATCAAATATTTTAATCAAGAAAAGAAAATGGCTTACTTGAAAGCAAAAGCACAGGTATGGCAATAAACATCAACTTATAATACTGTGGTTACTGTGGGAAACAAATCTAAGGCATCTCCCTTAGGCTTCACAGCTTTTTAAAAGCAAAAAGGTCATGTACATCAATTTGAAGTGTACTAATATTGTGTTCAAAGTTTATTTCAAGTCACAGAAAAATGTACAAACTAAAACCCAACAGAAATAAAGTGATTTTGTTCTGAGTGGTCATGGCAGTCCTCCACCTGGCACCAATCTGAGTCGTTCAAGAGTTAGATGTAGAAGTCATCCTTTCAATATTCCTACACAGTTATGGAATTATTTGCCATATTTGTTGCTAGGTATTTTGAAAACCTGTAAGAAAGTCAGGAGAAAGTCATTAGAAGTACAGATAAAGTTCTCTTCCCCAAACAGGAGTAAAAAGAAAGAAATAAAAAGGCTGGGGAGGGAGGCTATGCATAAGATCACTACAAATCACCAGGGACATACTTCCGAGGAAGCCTTCTGCTTTCCAGAAGCAATTATCCCATACGGCAGGGTTTCTCAACCTCAGCACCACTGACATTTTGGACTAGGTAACTGTTATATGGGAATGTTCTGTGCATTATAAGATGTTTAAAAGTCTGTCACCACTCACTGAATGTCAGTAATAAACCCCACCCTCTCTTTTAACAAACAAAAATGTCTTTAGACACTACCAAATGTCCCTTGGGGAGCAAAGCTGCCTCTGGTTGAAAACCTCTAATCTAAGGGTGATGAGACTATACCTGTCAGTGGTGGTACACACATTCACAACTAGCTAGATATAGGATGAAGTAGAGTTAACATTTTGGCCACAATATACAGAAGTAACAGCATATACACATCAAAACTTTGCCCATATAAAATTAGAAAAAACAAAACATAACACCCAAACAACAACACATACATAAACAAAGGAACACAAGTTTTTAAAAATTATAAAAATGGATTATAGTCTACAGATTAGTAATCAGAAATTTATAAACATAAATTTCCTGATTTTGATATTAGATATAAATACTTAAGATGTCACCATTGGGGGAAGATGGGTGATGAGTACAAAAGACTCTTGTGCCATTTTTGCAACTTCCTGTGAATCTAAGCCTTGTGTCGCAATAAGGAAAGATGGTATGGTCAATATACTGAATGACCAAGAAGGCATCAAAAGAAGATAGAGGGAATACACAGAATCACTGTACCATGAAGAATTGATTGACACTGAAAAATTTCAGTAAGTACTATATAAACAAGAGCCAGCTGTAATAAAGGAGGAAGAAGAAGCTGCAATGAAGGCATTGACAAGGCTCCAGGAATTGGGATACCAGTTGACTCATTTTAATTAACTGATGCAGTCTTCGATATGCTCACCAGTCTATGCCAGGAAATTTGGAGGACAGGTTATCTGACCAATAGATTGGAAGAGGTCCATATTTGCCATTCCCAAGAAAGGTGATCCAAACTGAATGTGGAAACTATTGAGCAATGTAATTAAAACCACATGCAAACAAAATACTGCTGAAGATCATTCAAAAACGGCTAGAACAGTACATAGAAATGGAACTGCCAGAAGTTCAAGCAGGATTTAGAAGAGGCCATGGCTGATGTCAGAAAGATCCTGGCTGAAAGTAAAGAATACCAGAAGAATGTCTATTTGTGCTTTATTGACTATGCAAAGACATTTGACTGTGTGAATCGTAACAAGTAGCTGACAATGAGAAGAATGGGAATCGCAGAGCACTTAATTATGCTCATGTGGAACCTATACCTGGACCAGGAAGCAGTTGTGCAAACACAGCAAGGGAACACTGCATGGTTAAAATTGAGAAAGGAGTGAATCAGGGTTGTGTTCTCTCTTCAAACCTATTAGATCTGTATGCTGAGGAAATTATCCAAGAAGCTGGACTCTGAAGAGGAGTATGATGTCAGGATTATAAATAACATGAGTTATGCAGATGACACAACTCTGCTTGCTGAAAGTGAGAAGGACTTGAAGCACTTGTTGCAGAAGATCAAAGAATACAGCCTTCAGTATGCACTGCATAACAATGTCAAGAAAACAATGATTCTTATGACTGGACATATAAGCAACAATCATGATGGACGAAGAGGAGACTGAAACCGTCAACAATTTCATTTTGCTTGGATCCACACCCTTGGTACCAGCAGTCAGGAAATAAGGAGACACATTACACTGAGAAAATCTGCAGTTAGGGACCTCTCCAAATTATTGAGGAGTAATGATGTCAGTTTGAGGATGAATGTGTGTCTGATTCAGGCCACAGTCATCACTTGCTATGCATCTGAGAGCTGGACAATGACCTGGGATGACAGAAGAATTGACGCTTTTGAGCTGTGGTGTTGGAAAAGAGCACTGAACTTCCCATGGATGGCCAAGAGAACAAACAACTACAAGAGGGTGCAGCCAGAGTGCTCTCTGGAGGCAAGGATGATAAGGCTTTGCCTGATATTCTTTGGGCATGTTGCTAGGAGGGGGTGTTCCTTAGAGAGGTACATGAAGCTGAAAATGGTGGAAGGTTGGTGAAGGAGAGGAAGACCCTCAGCCAGATAGGTGGATTAACACGATGTCTGCTGTAATGGGCTCTTGTGTGTCAGGAAGTGTGAAGATGGCTCAGGATAGAGCAGGGTTTAGGCCTTTTGTTCACAGGGTCACTGAGTGGTACTTGACACAACGACACCTAACAACAACCACCTATGAATCTGAATAATTACAAAACAAAACATAAAAAACAGCCCTATCAAAATCCTTGCCCTGGGGTTAAGTTGTCCTCTGCAATATTTTATAATCAAGAATACATAATGAAATAATTATCAGAAATATTCTACTTTCAGTATCAAAAAATAATAATTTTCTTTTCTTGTAGGAATGTCTTTTTTAACAAAAATAAAGTAGAAAAAGCAAAAGAGAGGAATAGCCTATTTACTCCTCTGAATATAATAGCTATTTTAAGCTTTTAGTGAAGAAAACAGAACATCTGGGATATGTAGAATAAAATGTTTAGGTAGCGGTCACACGAAAAGCATAGATAGATGTCTATCCACGCCAGCTTCCTGCTAAAGTATAGTCATTTCAAGTCTAAATTTAGATATGATGTATATTTACATGTTGGATGCTTTAAAGACATTTACAAATAAGAATACACTTTTATTGTGGTAAAATATATATAACATAAACTTGCCATCTTAACCTTCTTAAAATGCACGTTTCAGTGGAATTAGTTATATTCACAGTATCATATAACCACCACCATTATTTGTTTCAAAACTTTTTCATCACCTCAAAGAGAAATTATGTACCCATTAAGCATTAAAGCCCCATCACCCACAATAGTATTTCAAAATACAATTTACTGAGATGAGCATTATAATGTAGGTAGGGAAACAAATAGAAATGACAAAGGTAATTATTCAGGTTGATATTGGAACAATGTAAATTTTAAACTGTTTCAAGAAAATGGAACTGTTTTTTAAATACAAAGATGTTAGGGAAAAAATTTTAAAAAAGAAATACCAATACCTGTAATCAAGTTAGGCCACATGATTATTTATGAGGCAGGTTATCTGGATCCTTTTCTACCTGACTGATGAGCAAGAAAAATAAGAGTAGCAGTGTACAGCAATCTCTGAAATGTACAGAAACTTATAGTGATGGTAGACATTTGCTACCTTAAATTATGTGCTATAATAGTTTAGCATAAAAATATTCAATATAAAGCAAATACTGGAAATGAAAATATTTATACATTCTATTTAAATGGTGTGTATTTTCTACATTTTAATGAGAAAGCATGTAATAAAATATCATAACTAATACTGGAAAGATGCACACCAAACTATATTTAAAGGTAATGTCTGAGAAATGAAACTGAGAAGACGAAGATTTTTACTCTTAACTTTCTACATTTTTGTATTTTGATTTTGCTAATCTGATCAGGTATTTTATCATTTGCAAAGAAGAGTTTAAAAAGACCACACTGAATTCAGCAACTCAAAGAATAACTATGGCTTGAACTACTCAAAGAGGAGAAACATGATCAAGGGTCTTAAGGTGAACAAACACTTGAAAGTATATATACCCATAAAGCACAAGGAATGTGTCCTACTCAGGTAAGATTAAGTGTACTAACCTTTCAAGGTGCTCCAGTAGATTTCTGTATTTGTTCCTTTAGGATCAAGATACTCTGCCTTTGTTCAGGAGGCAGCATAGCAATCTGGTCTGCAGTCAGTTGAAGAACCTGCATAATCAAAGCAGCCTGTGTAGAAGGAAAAATAACGAATTTTAATAATGTCCGCTTAAAAAACCCCCAAGAAACAACAACTTAAAAATCACCGTAAGCTTCTGCCCAAAAAGCTACTGCAATGAGATATAGAGCAAAATGAAGGATGGAAGTATTTCACACACAAAACTAGCACTCAAAAAAGAACTGCATTGGAATAGATGAGGGGAAGGACTATCTGAAAGGAAAATATAAGGCATTATATGTAATTACAACAATCTGGAACAAGAGGTATATTGCAAAGTGGACTAGAAGAGAGGGAAAGGTGGAGGAAGGCAGAAAATGTGCAATAATGAATGAAAGAAAGAAAGAAAACCCAAGCTTTCTGTAAACTTTCATTAAAATCATAATAAAAATATTTTTAAAAATCACAACCAAATACAGAAGCAACTAGTGAGGAAAGACACAATGAGAACATGGACAAACTAAAATACCTAAAATTAGAACATATGAAACAGGCATCTTCATGGACTCAAATTTCCTGCACACTTAAAATGGTATCACTGAACTTCAGAGGTTCAGTTATTCAGGTCAATCTGGCAAGCATGCAGAAAAATGGCTACTGGCATATGAGTGTGAAATAAAAGATAATATGCTATTTACTTCCACTCAAGCACTATATCCACAAACTTTCAGGTAATCAAAGGATAGAAAAGAAAAATATTAATTCCAAAGTAATTAGGTATTAAACATCAATTCCAAAGGAACTTTAAGGACCCAGGATCTCCACATGGTAAATGCGAAGAAAAATCTAAAAGACTAAGTATTGCTTATTACCTTTTCATGATCCTGTGGAGTGACTTGGTTCTGCCCAGGACTAAAGCCAACAGGCTGACCTCCACTCTGCATGCCTGCCCCTTGCATGCCTGCTCCCTGTATGCCTGATCCCTGCATAACTGGGACCTATATGTACAAAAAGAGGTAAGGTGATAATTTCTGAACTTCTCATATATGAGTAACAAGAATCTAGTACTAGCAATGTACAAAATAAAAAATGAATATGGGTATTAAAAAACGCAGTAAATTAATGACTCTGAAGACCATTTTCTACTATCAGCAATGGCAGAAGGCAGAGTTTAGTCAGAAATTAATTAGTTAAGTTAGACATACCTGCTGTTAACAGCTTTAGCATCGTGAACAAGTATCATACAACACAACTGAATATTATCAAATCAAGCAAAATTCAAATAAAGACATAAAGGAAAAACTTGGAGCACCCTAGAAACTTGCGTTCCGTGGAAAAACAAATGAAAATTACTCAATTCTAAGAGATAATGTGTCCTGGTCCACTGGAGAAGCTACATACACAGGGATAGCACCTTCCTCTAGTTCAATCAGACATAGGTACTTTGTCTCAAAGGGTCCTACGCAGAAAAAGATCATAATGTCAGAGAGGTAGAAAGGCCTCTGGGGGAAATGACTGATATTATCTCAACATTTACCTTGTATAGCTTCTCACTGAAAGTATACTGCAGATGTGTTCCACTAAATACAGACCAAGAAAGAAGACTGACCTGAGTTAAAAGACCAAAGTACAGTTATATTACACTTACTTGAATTTAAGATTTTTGGTGAATTCAGCCTTTGGAAGACTACTAGAATGCAAGAGAAAGATTTCTGAGTATCTAAAACAACTAATAGGTCCCTATTTTGGAGCTCAGTTAACAGTAAGGCTAGAACTTCCAACTCTTATTAAACTGTTGGCAAACTTGTTACTTGCAAAGGATAAAAAAAAAATATGCAGAATAAACAAATGTTAGGAGCAGATACCACAACAATAATTTGTAGAGCTAGGTGACAGCCTAATAGTGAAGAAAGCCAAAAAGGGGATGTTTTATATTACAGCACATACAATAATGAGAATATTTAATGACTTTAAATTGTAAAAAAAGAACCTAGGTAACTGAAATACTAGTACAGCTTTGTAAAGATTGCTAGTATATTACCATGTTCTATTCTTTACCATTTCAAATCCATATATTAATCAATTGTAATTAATATTATAAAACAAAATGTGTATGAATGATTGAATAAAAAATTATAATCTTTCACACTAAATAATAAAACATCATTAAAATAAAATGCTTATTTAAAAAGTTTAGTGGATCTAGAGACTGGTCTGAATTTTAATGATCTGTTATAGGACAGAAACATTTATGAGCATAACCTTTTTGAAGCTTTAATCAGCACTAATTTGAGGTGCTATAATGTGATCTAATCACTCAAAGATGACCATTTAAACTTTCTAGGCAGTCCAGTGATACTAACAATAACTATGAATCTGAGTTTACCTAAAACAGTCCTATTCTATGCTTTTGCCCCAGATTACTTATTAACAATACCTTCTTTAACTTTGAAATGTGCCCTGGCTTGAATTACAAATGATACCACTCTAGTAAAAATCTTTGTCATTCACAAGATTCCAAAAGGGAAGAATGGAGGGAGCTAGATTTAACATTCTGAAGTAAGGATATACTAGTACATAAAAAAGCAAAGTACATGGTAGCATGGGAGGTTAATATAAATAAGAATATATATTCATATTGCTTGAAAGAAAAATAAAAATCTAATAAAAGTGATTATCTTTAAGAGCTGACAGAGGTCACAGGGAAAACAAGTATAGAGAGGAAGCAAGATAATTAATTGCTGGTATAGAGGAATACAGTATATATTTATATATAAGTGGATATGTTAACAACTAAAACATGTTTTAAAGATTTGAAGATAAAATTTCTAATTTTATTTGCCTCTGATTGAATTGACCTTATAAAATCTTCTCATGAAAAACTATATACACCTAATACTAAAGTAATATATTAAAGCACTAACAGAGATAGGACAAATCACTATCTAGAAACGCTCTTCAAACTATTATTTCCACTCTTTAAACCATTATTTCCAATGTCTTTGATCTCAGAAGTAACATTATATAAGAAATGATAAATTTGACCATTTATATGTGTTTATTGTCTGTCTTCTTATCAACTGGAATGTAAACTCTAGGAGGGCAGGAAGGCAGGGCCTTATTTTGTTCATTATGCTATATCCCAGGTATATGTGACAGACAACTCATTGTTGACTCAGAATCAACTCATTGTCAGCTGATCCTCCATTGGGTTTTCAAAGGCAGTAAATCACATCGTTGCTCCCTGAGAACAGCTAGTGGTTTCAAACTGCCTGCCTCTGGGTTAGCAGCACAGTTCCTTAACCACTAGGTCACCTATAAACACACACAGAGTAGGGAGCTCTGGTGATCTGGTGGATAAGGAGTTGTGCTGCCAACCCAAAGAGGCAGAAGAAAGATGAACAATCTTCTCTTGCATGATTTAAGACTTGATGGCTTCTGAAAACTTGATGGAGGGTCAGTTATGAGTTGGTTTCGACTCAATGACAGCGAGTTTGAGTTTATATATGTTGTTGTTGTTGTTAAGTGCCATCGAGTTGTATGTGACTAATAGTGACCCTGTGAAAGACTTGTATAACTTTTGTCCTCTCTCCAGGTTCATAGTGTTTCCAGAGGCATATATTATTATTCACATACTAGAAAAAGAATACTCATATTTCATATTAAAGAGGAAAAGACATTCACCACATGCTCACATATTTCAGAAACACAAAATTCTCAGGGAGTTCTGGTGGGTGCAGATATATATATATCGGACAGTACAGTGAAAAAAAGAGAGTGCTTTATTGCTTTCTCTGCTATTTTTCAGTTATGCAAACTTAAGAAAAATCACCCAAGTTTCCAAACCTATGAGAGAACTGGATGATTATTTCTACAGTGTATGAAAAATGACTTTATCTCTCTTACACACACAGAGGAAAAAACAAAAACATGGAAGAGAAAGAGACAGAAGCAGAGAGGAAGATACATAAAATGAAAAGGACAGTGGAGGGGTTGGAGGGAAACAAAGGAGACAACATAAAAATTCAGAGAGAAGATACACATGTACCAATTCCTCAAAAGCAACTCTGGAGTACAGGGAGGAGATGAAACACACAAAAAAACCACAGGCTAGGCCATCACATTCACACTACACTGGAGGGCAAGCTAACAAACAGAAAGACAATAATTCCATTGTTTTTAAGGTACATTTTAAGGATATCATCCATGGAAAAAAGCAAAAGATCATTATAAAAACAGAAGGGAGAGAAAAAACTGAAAGGAGTATCAGAAAAGTCTCTAAAAATTGTGCTAGAGCATCAAGAAGCCAAGACAAAGGGAAAACATGCCAAAAGTAAAAGAGCGGGACAGAAGATTTCAAAAGGCAGCTCGAGAGAACAAAGAAAAGTATATAATAGAATGTGCGGAGAGTTGGAATTGGAGAATAAAAAGGGAAGAGCTCATTCTGCATTTCTCAAGCTGAGAGAACTTGAAAATAAATTTCAACTTCGAGTTGCAGTATTGAAAGATGTTACGGGTGATATACTGAATGACCCAGAAAGCATCAAAAGAAGATGGAGAGAATACACAGAATCACGGTGCCTAAAAGAACTGACAGACACGGAAAAATTTTAGGAAGTACTATATGAACAGGAGAAAAATGGTAATAAAGGAGGAAGTGGAAGTTGCATTGGCAAAAAATAAGGCCCCAGGAATTGCTGGGATACCAGCTGACTCATTTCAATTAACAGATGCAGCCTTGGATGCGCTCACCAGTCTGTGCCAGGAAATTTGGAGGACAGATGTCTGGCCAATGGATTAGAAGAGGTCCACATTTGTTCCCATTCCCAAGAAAGGTGGTCCAAGTGAATGTGGAAACAATGGAACAATATCATTAAAATCACTTGCTAGCTAGCAAAATACTGCTGAAGATCATTTAAAAAATGGCTAGAATAGTACACAGATAGGGAACTGCAGGATTTAGAAGAGGTAGCAGCACCAGGGATATCACTGATGTCAGATGGTCCTGGCTCAAAGTGAGGAATACCAAAAGAATGCTTATTTGTGCTTTATTGGCTATGCAAAGACAACTGACTGTGGATCATAACAAGTTATGGCTAGCATTGAAAAGAATGGCATTCCCAGAGCAAGGAAATACTGTTGTTGTTGTTGTTGTTATTTGGCGTCGAGTTGTTTGCGACTCATAGCGACCCTATGCACAACAGCCCTAAACCCTGCTCTATCCTGCGCCAACTGCACTGCCTCTGACACACCCATCCCGATTACCCCAGTCACCGAATCAATCCATCTCATAGAGGGACTTCCCCTCCTGCGCTGTCCCTCCA